ATCAGCATTAAGTCTGTGCCTGAACCAAGGTATGCAAAGATGTCCTTATCTTGCTCTATTTGGTTATGACCAAGATCTGGTGACAAAAAAACAAATGTGAACCAAACATAGTTGGATCTTTTGGAGCAGGACTATGCTGATCAGTTACTCCTCATTACAAAAACCAACTGGAATCCCAGATACTACCAGATGCTGCATTCTCTAAAAGCAGTAAAGTTTCAGTAACAATTATAAACTCTTCGCAGTAGGACAAAAGGCATCACCACCGGCTGACAGAGGAGCAAACCTGGGATATGCTGAAACCAATACAGAAGTTGCAAACATCTAATGAAAAAACTTCAATCCTTGTAATTACACTCTGTGTTTGATACACACTCTGAACAGTAAGTGAAAGCACTGGTCTGGATAGAAAAGGAGCCCAGAATATTGGACAATCCTAAATAAATTCTCCTGTGACAAAACAGTAAAAATTTAACACAGAACTGATTATCCCTGACATAGTAATTTTTACATGCATGAAATTAGTTCAAATCACTTTATCTTAACTTTTATGAATTGAAAATAGTCAAGGGGGTGAGGTTAAAAAAGTGATGAAGGACCCACAGTATCCTCCTCCGTTTTTCTGGGGAAAGTACATAATAATTCATCATACTCTAATCCACATAAAAGCCTCCAAGCAAGCCATAAATGAATGTCAGAATGTTATCTAAAACACAGACATTTAGGACCTGTCTATTAAATTATTCAGTTACTTTTATAATTCTTAATGATGAGTAATATGCTGCTTCATAAATTACCATGAACTTCCAAGACTGAGAGGACTGACTAAAAATTTTCATAACTAAATTGAGATTATAGTATAAATGTTAAATTGAAACTTTACCATATTCCTGAACCCTCACAATGAAACAGACTTCAAGTATTCTTCTGTGTATCTAAAATAAAAGCATCCTGCCAGATTCAGTCTACGACTCTACTGCGAGTAGAGCAGAATATTTTCTAATAAGGTATGTATTTTAATTTAAATGTAACAAATTTTACACTTCTGATTAGTAGGCACTATTCATTTTTTTACTCAGTCAGTTCCAGAGGGAAGTCTCCAAATGATGCAGTAAATGCAGACATGGCATCCATTACAATTAAACAGCCAGTGAATGTAAACCTCACAACTTGTTTTCATATCACAATGACAGCATGTGGTAATGAACTTTCTGTTAAGAACTGTTAAGACCTGGAAAGGGAAAGAAATATATATTCCCAAATACTAATTACTCAGATGCTTAATACTCAACCTCTTCAAAAACCTGGAGATGAGCCAAAAAGTGTCATAAATGGTTTCACTTGGTACAAGAACCTTATTTACCAGCATTCTTAATTTCTATTTGTGCAGATGCTGTGCTTAGTAGTTAGCAATGAAACAGTTAAATATAACAGCAATGCTAATTAGATCATCCATAAGCATTTGAGATTTTTTTTTTTTAATAGCCCAGAATTCTCTATTAAATTCAGCTAAGGAACGTCAACCACATCTGCTCCAGCCACCACGGAAGGGAAGGTGTTCCTGTTCACAGGGGATAAAGGTGGTTGTGTTCCCAAGGGATGATGCAGACCCTCAATATGTCAGTGGCAACACTTTTTTCCTGCCTGAAATGGCACCACAGCTGAGAAACTTGTCAGTGTGCACCTACTGCTGCCCAAGCAAGCTTCCAAGTTTCACCTGCACCATGAAGCAGGGGAGTTGCTTTGTGAAATGAGGATCCAAGGTCTCGTCTTGACCGACCGCAGCACTGTGGGAACGGAGCGTTCCTGGCAGGAGGGAGGATGGATGCTGAGCTCCCTTGATGGGATCCATGTGCCAGGACACAGTAACAGCACCAGGCACTTCATCTTCTGGTATTGCCTCTCTCCCCTTTTCCCTCCCCAACCTCACCCTAGAACTTTTACATCTTTTTGATGCAGAAGTACATTCCATTTGGATAAGCTCACTGTCGTTACTTACAACAAAGCAGATTTCTCACTGCTGCACTGAAATTATTTAAAACAATGAACCAATTAAGAAAAAACCTGTAGCTTAAATACCAAGAACAAAAAGCAGTAAGAAAATAACCTCCCTCCTTCTTCCTCTACTGGGTGTTGTTCTGTGCTACCAAAAAACCACTGAAACATCACAGACAACAACTCATTCTACTGAAATAAATCAATATCCAGTGACCTCATGGGGAAAAAAATTTTACCACTAACATGTAAAACTAATACCCAAAAAGTCACCCATACATATAAATAAAATCACAATGCTTCCATGTAAAACCTGTAACTAAAACATCACCTACAGCTGATCTGAGATCTCTTTTTTACAGTGAGCACATATTTGAAAGTTACGCTAGTGGTAATTACCAGTGGAAGTCTAGAAGTTTGGCCAATAGAGTAAAATAAAAATGGAATAAATTCCAGAAATTTTACTAAATTATTCTGGCATGGCTCTCATCTTTCAAACTCTGCAATGCTAAGATTGTTAAAAAATAAAAACTGAGAACATACTGTGAATGTATTTAAAGTAAATTAAAATTATGGCTTTTAATTTTCTAGGATTATTTTCAAGACTTCACTGTATCACTTGATGCTATATGTGCAAAAATATATAAGTTAACATTCTGAATATATTTAAGTTTTACTTACATAAATGCATTTTTAAAAAAGAGAATGAGTCAAAACTCGTACATTTACCTTGAACTTTAATGAGCAGAACAGATATAATTTGCAGCATTAAAGTTATTCAGGCTCAATAAAAGCTAAAACTTGTCCTTGCTGAGCGGTGAAATGAGATTTGCACAGCCTGTGTACGCCTTGTTTCCCACAATCAAACTGTCACAGCACAAAAACATTCTCCTCCATGGGGAGGTTTTGATACCCATTTCCCTGGTGAAAGTGTGAGAAGGATCTGAAAGAGTTATTGACAATTCATACAGTATCCCATATTCCATTAGGTAGTACAAGCAGAGAACATATCTTAACTCTGAAGGGAGATGAAGCAACAATGTTTTAAATTGCTATTGACTCCACTAAATTTCCTGATAATGTCAGAAGACTGTAGTCTGGCAGGTTCATAAGAGACTCAAGATGATACAGGAATCCAATTATGCCAAGTCTATTTAGTTGTCCTGTTTGCTAAGCCAAAGGTTAACGAGAACTGCACTGAAAAAACCTCCCATGGTATTACAAAGTATTTCTTATGCTGCATAACATGCAAATGAAAAAGTATTTTAATCAAGTCTTTCTTTAACTCCTTAATTGCAATGGGGTACCCTACAAGACAGCAAATTAAAAACTCATGATGGAAAAAGTGATCTTAAAAATATGTCACTGAACTCAAGAGATCATCATTAATTACTCAAGTAATTATTACTAAATATTTCTAATTTGGGAAAAAAAAAAGTTCAGATCACAGGAACATAGATAGTCATTGCTATCATTAAATCTTTATAAATAGTAAGCTACGGCCTCTAATTTTAGACAGAAATTAATTGTATTTTTGTTGGCAACACACTCAAATCTGTTTACACAGCTGACAAGTTCCAGCGCCACCAGACTCGAGCAGTGAGCTTTGAGGACTCGTCTGCTTCAGAGCAGATGACTCAACATTCACCAATTTCATTAAAGATGAAAAGGGGAAAAATTCACCTGCAACAATGTCACTTGAAAAAAAAAGACCTAAAGCAGATTCATGAGTTTTACATGTGTGAGGTATCCTACTCAGAAGAAAAGGAGGGGAAAAATACATGAAAACCTAACAGCTGTGGGAAAACAGATTAGAAGTGTTGAGTTTCCAATTCTTTTTTGGGCTAATGTAAACTAATAAAATGCTAAAATGGATCCACATTTCAAAGCCTGTAATTACCACATGACACCATTCTGTTATTTTAGACCTTACATCTATCAGCTCAGATATGCCCTTGAATACATGGACTGAGATTTACCCACCTTTCTCAAACTTAAATACTGTTTCTGCAAACATCACCACAGATAAATTTTACAAGTACACTGAAAATTCAGACAGCTTTTGCCTTTTGTTTTGTTTTTTTTTTTTTTTTTAATTGGCATAAATCCTTTTCCCAGAGCAAAAAAAGGAGCAGTCATATTCAAACAGCAATTCTCCCTTTACAAGAAGAGAGCAGAAATGGACAGGAAAGTAATGCATGGCAGATAATGACAATATAAAAGAGAGCAAACTCCAAATCCATTTTCACTTTGTAGAACATTCAGGTTCAATAAAAAACTTCGTTTTTCTACATTTTTCTTGGGTCATAAAATCTACATACAATATAACTACATAATTATTCCACCCTTTTAGTGATTTTTTTTAGTGGATTGGTTGGGTTTTTTTCTAAAGAAAGGCAGACCTCACTAGCTGGCACAGGGAACATAGTAGCAGAAGGAAACTGAAAGACATGTTGTATAACACATTGTAAGAAATGACCATGCAACGAAGGAAGTCTAACATTTAATGGGATACTGCAGTTAAGTCCCACAATTTCATGAATTTGTGGGCAATTCTGAGTCAGTGGATTCTGTCACCTCACTGATTTCAGTAGGAAAATCTCCCGCTCTGAAGCCAGAGGCTTGAGCACGATCTGGGTGAGCTAATGTACTGTGAAAAACACCTAGATGTGCACACAGAGCACACATAAAAAATCAGGGCTTTTTGCCCTAGTTCAATCACCCAATAGACTTCAACTTCCAAAATGTGTGCAGCCTTGCTGCAGTCTAGAATGGCTGAAATGAAACATGAAACATGAACTGAATCTGATACACAGGAATCCTTTCCCTGAGCTGCAGGCACCCAAACCTCCAGCATTTGTATCTTCCACGCCAAAACTCTCAATGTGTGTGATGTTAAGGTACTGCATAAGAGACAGTAAATGCTACTGAGTGATTCCAATCAAAAATCCATGTAAAATCAGCCTTTTCCAGGAAGGAATGAGATGAGAAGCCAAGGAACTCACCGAGTCATCTGTGGCAGAAGAAGGCCAACCTTCCCACAGCTGGTGACGGACAGGGATACTGGTCAGGTCATACACATTCCGCTTCACCTGGGAAAAAAATAAAAATAAATCAAACTTGCTCTAAAAAAGGCAGCCGAAGGGCATTATTTTCATCACAGCACCAAGCTTTTTATTTTTCCAGGTTATTGTAAAACTTTGACTTAAAGCAAATGATAAGGCTATTCCAAAACTGTCCTTTGATGCCTTCGCTTATTCATTTGTCAACAGGAAACAAAGAGCAATTAATTGTGTGCTAACTTCTGCTATAAGAATTGCTAAAACTTCCATGAACTGAAAAAAATTAAATGTATTATATTATAGCTCTCAGCAGGAAAAGATCTTTGAGCTAGCACTTTGCCTGCAGTCTAGTGCACTTACCCTGAGTTAACAGCTTTTCCTGAACAGAAAAATAGTTTGCAACAATCAGAAAGAAAGCTGAAATTTGCCAAAATGATAAATGCTAACATAATCCATTTAGATAAAGGCTTCATATTCTAGAAATGAATGAAAGATGATTCTACATTACCATTCTTAAGAAGATAATACAGTAAGAGAGTCATTTTATATCATTTGATCCAACCTATTAATCAATACTTGACATATCTTCTGCACTGAAGCACAGTTGAGGTTTGACTCCATGGTAAAGTAATACAAAGATATGGAAAGTAAATATGCTCCCTCTAAAATTTGTCATTTATTTTTAGTACAGGATGTATATGAAACATCTGACAATAGATTTTAATCTAAAAATATTTTTGCATAATGAAATAGCATCAAAACTTTTTCCCTGGATCATCTTTAGAAACAAATGCTCCATGGATCCTTTTTTTTAAATTCTGCACAGCAATAAATGGATGAAGAATGTGTGCAGACATTAAGCAGTGAAACAATTGTTCTAATCACTGTAAAGATCCCAAGGAGGGTGAGGACAAGGCAGGGATTTCCACACATAGTCTTCCTCACAAATGTTGATCTGGGCCACAGTCTTCAAAAAATTCTTAATGGCACAGTCACAAGGTTGTCAATAAATACCCACAACTGAAAAAAATTCAAGGCATATTGAGATCCAACACAAAGTACAGAGGTCTTACTGTATTTTCAGATCTGTCCTTCAATTGTTGTTGCTTTTTCTCATTATTTTTAGTACTAGCAGTTATTTCATGCAAAAAAAATGTCCCTTTGGAAAAACTGTGAAGCATTCTCTCACATTTCTGGACAGATTTAATACATAGGCTATGCAGATAATAATTTCAATGCTATCAGTTTAAAGCTTTCTAAATAGAAATATTCTGCACAGGTCAGTGTTTTAGAATTGTTCAGATATCTCTCAATTTTCCCCTAAAACTGGTAAATTACATGTACACATGATAACCTTTATGTTAATATTAGTTTTGTTCAGGAGTTCTTGCAGGGAGACTGACCTGGGAACTGTGTTTCAATCTAAAAAAAATTACAACTATATTTTATCTAATAAAATTGAAACAAGAACACTGAGTCTTTAAGACACAGAATACTGAAGTATCTATTAGCAATTCAAGTGGACTTCATTTTAGTGCTTCCTCATAGTGTCCTTGATGGCATTGTAAAGAAACGTTGCTTCATACTGACCCCACAACAATCCAAAATGTAACAATCCTGACCTATGTGTGATCATAATGACACAATTCTTGCTGGTTTAGTTTTCTTGCATCAAAAACCATGATAAACTGTCCCTGTGAAATATTTATTTTCCAGCTACACACCAGAAATAGTATTATTTTCACAATATAAAACTCTACGGTGCACTATTTTTAAATAACAAGTGAAACTTATTTACAGAAACATGAGATAAATAGGACTACATAATATTGTTTTCAAAAAGCCTTCAGAAGTGAATATAAATAACTCGGAAGTCACATTCCTCAAATTCCCTTTTAATTCCAAAGCACAACAGAAAGGCATTATGAAAAAAAACAGTATTTCCCTTCTTTCATTAACTCATCTGTAACTGCACTGAATTCAATAACATTCCTCTGCTATTCTAAGCTTGAAAGGCATGCTCGGGGTAAAGTGTTATGTTGGTATAAAGCACAATGCCAGACTGATGTGCTGGACAAAAGTGATCAAAGTTGAAGTAATTTTAGCCAACGCACAAGTATTCTGCTGCATTATCCTACCAGAATGACATCTGTTGAGCAACTCGTCGCAGAATAAACCAGTTGTTCTAGGCAGCCCTGCCTGGGTAGGGGACCATGTAAGACTGATTAGAGTAATGTTTGATTAAACAAACTGCTTGAGTTAAGATCATAACTGGATTTGGAATTCATGCCAAAGCAGTCCTCTTTCAAACAACAAGCCACAATCAATTATTTAAGATAAAATAAGCTTGCTTTTAAATAATGATTTGATTTTTGGTTTCTTTGATAATTAGAACACTGTTACGAAAGCAAGCTGTAAAATGTTTTAGAGATTAGAATACTTACCAATTGAGTATAGAAAACCCCTTTTCTTCATTAACTGATCTAATTTATGAAAGCAGACTGTAAAATGCTTGAGATTAGAATATTTACCAGTTGAGTATGGAAAATCCCTTTTCATCATTAATTGACCTAATTTATGAAAGCAGACTGTAAAATGTTTTAGAAATTAGAATATTTACCAGTTGAGTGTGTAAAAATCCCTTTTCTTCATTAATTGACCTAATTTCAGTTTAAAGTGAAAAATTCCATGAGTAGGAAAAATTTCTGAAGATTTATATAAAGCAGAGCTGTGAACTTCTCCTTCACTGAGCCAATAAAAATCTACAGCCACACTCTTCAGGCAACTGAAAATAGTTAGCACAGAAAATGGACAAAGTTTGTGTTAAAGATTTTGTTATATATTCACTCAGCACTGAGAGGAGGAACAAAATCTTTATCGTGTACAGCAAAACTGTGCCATCCACTGAGCTACATTTATTGGCAAACTTTTTGGTCCTGCACTTTTGATCAGTTTGAAATACAAATTGGTGACATTGTCTTTGTGCAGCCCAGAATGTCTTTTCATAATGTTCAGATGCCATGGTGACTGGCACATTACTATGGCAGCCACCCTTCAGATTATCATCTCTAGAAAATAAGAGATCATTTTAAAACAAATTAAAGGCACATCTATTGGGTTTCACTATTCAGCTGTAAATAGTATCAATACAACCATTTAAACAAAACAAAAAAAAAAAAAAAAAAAAAAGTCCATATATTTCAGATGCAGTCTTCTAGGAAAATTATGTATAATTCCTGCATAATGCCCTGCCTTGCAGTTATACATTGATGCTGGAAAACTATGAGAAGTTTTAGCTTCAGCTCATTTTCACTAGTTTTAGAAGAGAGTTAACATATTAAACAACTTCTAATATTTTGAGAAAACACATATGTCAAAGTAGCCAACACACTCAGAAAACTTCCCAGACAGAGGCAGTGTTACCTTCCTATCTTTCACTGGTTTCTTTAGACAGATGAACATGTTGCTTTGAAAGTAAGGTTAAACATAAAATATACACTTTGTTCGCAGATATGAAGCAAATCCAACATTCTAAGTCCTGCCACATTCATATTCGTAAGGATAAAGTGAAGCAAAATATATCACAGGGCAAAATGTCAGTACCAGGTAGGGTGATGACAACCAACCTTCTGGTGACTGCACTCAGCAGGAATTAGTAGCTATTTTCTCATCTCTGAATTAGAAAAATCTGAAACCTACTCTCAAAAAACAAATACCTAACACTTACTAAATGATTAAAAAATTAAATTTATGCTGAATCATTGAAAAACTATCATGCCCGAATCTGTATCTTTGAATCACAACAAATCACAACAAAGTTTAACAGTAGTTTCCCTCAGGCTGCTTTCAGCTTATGCAGGTACAAAGTTAAGTGAAATAATGTACATAATGAACTTTTGTTAGTCTTATTATTAAATATAATTTATGCAAAGCTGTAAATTGGCTGAGATGCTAAAGACTGTTCCAGGCACATAGGCAGCATGAAAGACAGTGCAAAAATGAGTGCATGAAAGGCAGACAAAAGGAGCAATAAAGTCAGGGGACTGTGAGGAATGTGGAATGTGAGTTGGGGGACGCAGGGAAATGAGATCAGATGCAGACAGTCCAAGGTTGCACGGGGCACTGATGGTACAGCAGAAATCTTGACTTTGACATTGTAACAGAGAAGAAATCAAGACAAGTAACCAAAATTTTTAGGGGACAGCAATGATATGGATGGGGAAGAAGCCAGGAAGAAATCCAAAGTAAGTAGAAGCATTTTGGTGAAGAAAGATGGAAAGAAAAGAGGCAAACCCAGATGAAGTGATAGGCTTAAAGATTATAAATTAAAGCCTTTAACATCTCTGCCAAGCCAAATTCCAACAGATAGAAAAGAGCACTGGGAATCTGGCAGGAATAGATGGGAAGCAGGGGCAGAATCAACCAAATTTCTAAGCATGGAGAAGCATCAAAGGTGATATTATGGTGAATTTGAAAAGAAAATGAAGTTATCAACACCTATGAGCAAGAAGATTGGTTAGATAAAAGGGTGATTTCAGTTAATTGTGGACTAACAAGAATTATTGAAAATACTGAGATGCAGAACTAGAGAGAAGGAATTTCTGAATAAGCACCTCTGCCACAACCTATTGCAATAGATTTGGTCCACAGTAACAGAAAAACACAAGACACAAACTGAAGAAGTTAGGAGGGAAAATCACAAACCAAAACAAGTAATCCACATTTAAAATGTTCTCACAGCACAGAAAAAGGATTTTGCATTTTATCAGGAAGAGGATATCATGAGCCAAAGGAGAAACTGAATTTCTTAACTGTAAAAGTAATTTTTAGCCAGCTACCCACAGGTAGGATACATTCACATATACTAAAGCAGTGCACTGTGTGAGCCACCACTAATACTCAAACCAGAACTCTCAGGTTACTTTGCCCAAGACTCATTTAAGGGAAAGGTTCTAAGTCTGCTCCACTCACAATTTTGCTTGTGCTCTTATCTTTCAAATACATAATACAACAAACTATACTACAACATA